AGCATTTTTTTTTCTCCCTACCTCGTATCCTGCCAGTATATCCAAGCAGGGCTTTGGAATAAGGTCATTTCTCTGGCTTCAGATCGCCCACATATATCCCTCCCATAGAATCACACTGCACATGGATTTACCTTCTTTACGATGTCTGTGGAATAGAATATTCTCCACCTGGGTTTATGTGGAATCCTTTAGCACTATGAGTTGAAGACTGCAATCCTGTTCCTATCTAACACAGAGTAAGTCTCACTGAACACAGCATGACTTTCTTCCGAGTAAACTTGCACTGTTTGGATTGCATGGTCAATGAATAATTTCAATTGGAATGTGTTTTTTTGTCAGGCGGAGGATTCTGTTGGAGAAACCACTGTTGGATGCTGGAAGCTGCAATCCAGTTCACCTCACCTTGGATCTGGGCCCTTATGTAGCCTGAGTGAACCATCTCGTGGGCATGCAGTGAGACAAGGATGCAACAGAATCACTATGCCCTCCAGTCAGTTTTTCAAGTCAAACTGAAATTTTGTTATACTATTGCAAATGAACTACCAGATGTTTCTGGTTATGTGATAAAATATCAAGAGGCGCTGAAAGAAAATTAATAATTTTGGATTGGCAGGGAAGTGATCATAGACATTTGAATGTGTTCTGGAAGTGAGCACAGAAAAGTTAAGACTAGAGATGGGAGGGTATTCGTATACGAATACCGCCCACCCGCACAGGTGGACATAATGAGGGTCCGGCCTCCTGGGGCCGGACTGTCCACTCACCTTCTGCTACTGCTGTGGGCTCTGCACTCCCTTCCTATAGATCTGGAGTGCCTGGTTGGCAAGCCACTCTTCGACCTGGCAGGGAGGCTTGTTGTCCCGCCTTCTGCCAGGAGTGGCTCGCCAGCTGCAAGCTCCGGAGCGATAGGAAAGGAGTGCAGAGTCTGCAGCAGCAGCGGAAGGTGAGTTGACAGTCTAGCCCCAGGGGGGTGGACCCTTGTTATGTCTACCTGTGCAGGGTGTATTTGTATACGAATACCCCCATGTCTAGTCAAGAGAAAGAGAGCTGTGCGTGTAACAGGTCCCTATGTATTCCACTGCATGAGTGCTATTTTATTCTGTTGCTTTAAAAAATCTGAAGCGAAGACTGCCTCTGAGTGTGTACCAATGGAGACCACCCATTCAGACCCTGCCCATCAGTAATTAAGGCCATATCCTCTTTATTTATTTATATGCTACATAGGATTTCTCATTTTTCCTCCAGTGAGCTCAAGGTGGCTTACAACATAGCTGTCTTCCCTCTCATTTTACCCTCAGAATAATTTTAGGAGGCAGGCCAAGCTAATAGTGATTGCCCGTCCATTGAGTTTCATGGCTTATTGGTGCCTGGAACCAATAAGCCACCTTTACACCACACTGTCTTAGAGAGCAGGGCTTCATGATACAGCTGAACTCTAGCTGTCATTTCACAAATGAAGCTTTGGGCAGCCACCAAGTCTCAAACAGAAAGGCTCCCTCAAGCTACTAAACTAAACATGGCTTTCCACTAAGCTATATAAAGGCTTGTGCCAGGTAGGGCATTGTGGCAAATTAGCATTATATTATATCACCAGTGTTCCAGCAGGGTTTGAGTGTCATCCGACCAAAAATAATAATAATAATAATAATACGTGTGATGGCACAATCCTTCTCTAACGCACCCAGGTTAATGCATGAGATACACAGAGCAGATCCTTTGCGCTGCTCGCATCAATTGTACTTCAGACACAGAGGATCTAATGCACATGGCTGGAATGACGCAGGCAAGAAAGCATTGTGGGAGGTTGTTTGTCACATTTGGGCTTAGTAAGCCAGGAGGAAGGACAGAAGAGTGGATGTTTAGCATGACGAATCTCTGAGCAAAGGATGGCATTAGACCTCAAGGCAAAGGTAGAATGACTGAGATTGGAGAGCATGTGTGCACATCTGTCTGTCTGGAAATGTTTATAGTCACCATTGCATCACCTTTACAGTGTCAAATGTTACACATCAAGGTACTCAGCATTGTATAGTGGACAAAGTGACGGACTAGGCCTGAGAAGACTTGGGTCCAACTCCCCACTTGGCCAAAGAAACTCCCCATGGAATGGCACTGCTAAGACGGCTCCTTAAATATCTCACTTCTTGCGAACACTGTTAAGATCACTATAACTCAGATGCACACTGATGGCATGTAACACACAAACATGTTACTACATAGATTTTTTTCTTTTTCTTTATTTATTATTATTATTACTGAGAATTCTGATTTTAATTTAGGAAACTCCTACAATTTCTGGGCTTCTCTCCATTATAGAAAAAAATTATTAGAATCAGGAAGCAGTACTATGTGAAAGCTTACAAATTAGAAGTGGCCTTTGTGGGACTTTTTTTTTCTCCAGCAGTCAAGACTTTTGCTCTCTAAACATTTGCAACAAATCCCATAAATGTACTTCAAGTCCCTCATACATACTGTTCTCTATGCCAAATGCTCTTGCCACCAAATGTTTAAAATTCCTCAAACACTGGCATATGCTACCAGATTAAGGACACACTTCCACTTTCACATAATGCTGAAACATTTACAGCCCAGCATAGTTTATCCATTTTGTCCTTGAAGATTTATGGGTTTTTCTCCTATAAAGCATTTGGTTTCCTGAGTACAGACATTTAAATCTATTACAAGAGAAGTATATGATGCATTTTGGATGGACTTAGAAATATTCATAATGCGCCCAGCCAAGACCATTTGATGGGACTATTTAGGAGTGGAAGGACCAAAGGAGGAGGATTGAATTATATAGTGAGGAGGGAAAAGCCCTGCAAGGCATTTTTAAAAGGATGAGTTGATGATCCATTCTATATTACAAAACCCAGAATTTAATTCACAGGAATCTCACTGCTCAAATGGCTTTTGTGAGAATTTGCTATACAAAACCGAAAGATCATCACACTCAAGCAAGAGAAATTGAGCCTAGAAAAAAAAGAGAGGACTTTGTTACTTATATCTCTCCCCTCCGCACTGCTGTCCTGGACTAGTTTATAAGGATTCGTAGTCAGAATCAACTCAGGAAGCCAACAAGAAAATATAAATATCATTGTATACACATCAAGAGACTGGTGCGATAGCTGCAGATCTCTTAGTTTTCATAATCTCCTGCCTTGGTGGCGATTCTAGAGAAGGAGAGACTGAAGTGTCCCCATGCCCAGATCCTACAGGCAGTAGATGTGCTCTCACTACTGGGAGAAAGGCAGAGTAGAAATGAAACGAAACAAAACAGAAACCCAAATGCAGGTCAATTAATGCAATAGCATCAGCTGTAGCAAAAAGGAAGTGAAAGACCAGGTTTGGCTAAGGGTGTTAGGTGCAGGCGCCCTGCCGTTATCCTGTGTGTCTGCGTGTTGTTGGAACAGCAAGCTTAGGAAATTTCACAGGAGATAGTACTATGTTGATAGGAATAATATTGTCGGTAAACCCAGCCAATGTATAACCCCACACATTCCTAAACACAGTCCTCAAGCAGCCCAGGAGTTCATTTACACAAGGAGGGCCATTTTTAGCACCTCAAGTTTGAATATCAACAAAAACACCCAGACGAGAAAATCCTACTTATCCTTTCTAACTTCCGCAAGGGGCCATAGGAGGATTATACTCTACACACGCTGTTGAGCACTTCAGACTGACTTGCCTGAATGAGTAGCAACACACTACCTCTTCAAGAAACATTGTTCAAACAGGTAGTCTTCTGCCCACTACTTCTTTAAAACAACAACAAAGAACAACTACATTCATTAGAGGCGTTTGTACTAGTGATCAGCTAGATTCTATTCTCAGTGAATTTTGCAGACCTACAGAACCGTTTATCATTCCCCAGTGTACTGAAGTGATTTTTTTCCCAAAAGAGAGCAGCCCCCTTACGCTGTTGCAGCAGAAGCAAACACAGACTCTTGCCGCACCTTGAAGGGTATCTATCACATCAACTTTTGTGAACTAAAGCTCACTTCAGCAAGTGCTGCAAACTCTTATGCCTAATAAATGTGTTAACCTTTAAGACACCACAGGTCCAGGCTCATGTTGTTTGTCCCTTTGCACTACTGGATGTCATTAACAACGCTATATTCTTGTTAGGGGCCACCAGAGTGACCCCGAACATCAAGGTGAGTGAGATGTTTAACAAGAGGTTTTACCCGTTACACACACACACACACACATGTGTACACTCATACACCTGAGTTTCCACAGCCAAGTAAGGGTTTGAATCCAGGTCTCTTGAGTCCTTAGTCCAACACTATCGACTACACCATGCTGGGAATCACACAGCATACATATACAGACATAGACACCCACCCGCAGATCCCTGTACATTAGGAACTAATTCTTCCATGTTTACCCTTTATTAAACTAATTATTTCCACCAGTTCCCCCCCCCACACCTCCTGGTGACGGTTCACGTGGGACAAGCGCATTCTCAAAATGTTGTTTGCCCAGGCCACGGGCACACGGTTCTCCCCCCCCCCCCCCCCCCCTTTCCTNNGTCATTAGTATTCATCAGGTTCGGCCAGGTGTTGGGAGACTGGCTGCGTGGCCAGGTTGCTGCTAAGGGGCCGAGGAGAAGGCACAGGAGAGGGCTCCCTGCTTGTGACCGGGCTCCCCGAGCAGGGGACGGCGCCGCCGGTAAAACGGAAAACACACCAGGGGATGATGGCACAAAACAAGGACCAGAATCAGCGGCAGAGGAACCATCCGGAGTGGAGTGTAATCCACTACAAGCTTTATGGAGTAATAAATATTTGTTCTTTAAGCAGTCTTTAAGATGTCACAAGATACTGTTGTTTCTGCGGCAACAGAGGGACGCCGCTACCCGTCTGGAAGGCCAGGCCTGAGCACCAACCCGAAGGCGATCTTGTTTTCCTTCAGGGCAAACCGCTCGGAGAAGATTTCTTAAGGAGTGGATGTATCAACTGGGTTTTTAAAAAATGCAACAAACAGTATGGACTTACCCTCAAATGGTCCACAGTGGAATCGCCAATCGGATGCGACCTACGGCGGTGGTGGTGCTACTATTAGGGTCCGGGGCTGCAAGGGTCTCGCCTAAGCCCGAGAGGTGGAAGGCCCCACCGCCCGTACTTAGGAAATGACCAGGATCGCTGCGGGACGGCAACCCAAGTAAGTCTGTGCTTGTGGGTTTACTATCTGATCAATCGTTAACCCTTGAGTGGCCCTCGGCTCTCAAGCCGTCGGGAGCAATCCTGGAGGCGCTCGCACCGGACCGTTAGAAATTAGATGCAACATTTTCTGGGCGTCCAAAGGGATCCGCAGCTTTGGCAGATGGGGAAATTGGGGGTGGGCGGGTCGCGCTTTTTCTGACCGTTGCAAAAGAACCTCCGTTTTATTCCTCGACGACAACGCAATCGAACCTGTCAACCTCGCTG